TTGTATGGACTGGAAGTAATATTGATGAAATAATATATATTTATTCCTGTTTATGCAGGAACATACTGTAGCGGTAAATAATTCCCCAAAATTATTAACCACAGCAATCATCACTCAACATTGGATGCTGACCACCACTGTTTAAGTCGACTTGTTTAGCTGAAGGCTTACGGTCAAGCATCCCCGCCATTTGGTGCTTCGTCGTGTCACGTGCGTGCACGATTACTAGCTAGCTAAGCATTCATTCCTACCCGCGATTTGGTCCCAAAATATATATCGTATTTGGACGACAAAATCTGGTCTTTTGCTTTACCATTTGGTACTCGAAGAACGAACACTATAGTGGTTGTTGGTATAAGATCTTGCGTTAGTATAATCCGTACAACTCGCGAACGTCGATACCCTCAACCCGTAAACTGGTGAGCCCAACCACGAACTACATCTTCAATTCACACGCAGATAAACCCGGTGAGTTCGTTCCTTTTTGTGTTTATTCTTGTACTATTTTGTTATCGGCATTTTCGTCATGAGTGATCCTAGCCCCAAGGTTATTCAGATTCGCTCAACCGCCAAAACAATTCAGCTAGTACCATTTTGGCCAGATAATGCTGAAACGTGGTTTCAGATTGCTGAGTCCGATTTTTGTGAACATGGCATAACTGATCAACGTTCACAGTTCCTTGCAGTTATTCACGCCCTGCCGCGGGAATTCAGCAAGTGCGTAACTCTGCAGATGTCGGTAAGTAACTCGTACGAGTTGCTAAAAGCATCCATCCTCAAGAGAAACGTTCTCACAGATCGGCAACGTCTGGATGAGTTATTTCGTAACATCGAGTTAGGAGATCAGTCAGCCGTGAGCATGCTGGCAAGAATGAAAGAGATCATTGGCCAAAGTCAGTTCGATGAAGGACTGTTTAGAGAACTATTTTTATCCAAACTGCCACAGTCAGTTCAGACTGTACTTGTGACACTTCAGGGTGTTCTCATAGATGATTTAGCTGTCTCTGCAGATAGAATTCTAGAGATAACGAAACGGCCAATCACCGAAGTATACTCTGTTACCGAACAGACTTCGAAGAAGGATTCTGCAATGATAGAGTTAATCAACTCCGTCCAGCAGATGCTTAGGTCAAACAAGCCTAGCAATTCCTCAAACCGTCGTTCTAGATCCCCTCAACGGCAAAACGCACGTGGACGATCTAAGTCCAACACACGTTCTGTCAAAAATCCTGACTGGTGTTGGTATCACAACACCTATGGCAAGGAAGCGAAATGTTGTCGAAAACCTTGTGATTTCGGCAAAGCCTCCAAGTCTGTGGGAAACTATCCCGCCGGCACGCGTTAGCGGCAACCGTCGCCGGTGGCACTAGCCGCTTACTTTACATCCACGATGTAATTAGCCAGACTAGATATCTAGTCGACACAGGCGCCGAAGTCAGCGTCCTTCCTGCTACAGCAGCAGATCGACAGAAGGATCCTAACTTCAACCTACAGGCTGCAAATGGAAAACCAATTGCAACCTATGGTCGGAAATACGTCTATCTGAACGTAGGTTTACGCAAACCTATTCAGTGGATTTTCCTAATCGCTGACGTCACAATGCCCATCATCGGCACGGACCTACTTAATCATCATGATTTGCTCGTAGACGTCCGCCGTAAACGACTAATTGACAACACTACTAGTTTGTCTATCAAAGGCATAACTTACGTAGGCCCCAGCTTGTCAATCGTTAAGATGAAAGCAATCCCCGATCCAACTTTTCAACCGATTGTTGACAAATATCCGGAACTGAATTGCCCATCTAACGATCTCCCGTGTATAACCAGCAATGTTATGCACCACATCATAACCTCAGGACAGCCCGTGACATCTAAAGCACGACGACTGGCCCCTGACAAACCCACTAGGGGGGGAGTGAGCTGTATCGACCGTCTGAAACCAGCTTACTTGGAAGGTAATCCCATTAGCCTGGAGCTAAACGTACCCGATAATTCACAAGTAATTGAATCTACTTCAGTCTTCGAAGAACTCCCTAGCACGGCGAAAGCCACCGAAACTTCGGTCGATAACTCTAAGAAAACGCGTTCTGGACGTCACGTTAGATTTCCAGAATACCTTCACACCTATCTCACATAACTGAGTGACACATCAATTTTTTTTATGTTGCGTCATTTAACACAAGTAAATGATATTTCTCCTATAACCGTACATAAAATTAAATTAGAGGTATATTTTTTTTCCCCGATATTTTGCACTTTACATTATTTTACTGTATAGTAGATGCATGTCATATTTTTTTGGTAAAAAAACGCTTATTTGGTACATTTTTCTTGACAAGGTTCTCAGCATTCTTGTTTTCTTTTCCAGGTGCAACGGGCACTGGACAGGAAACAAACGAAGCACGGGATCCAACGAACAACATTGAGGAAGCTATGTACAGACACCCTATTAGCATAGGCAGACAGACCAGCAGGCTCTCGATCAAGCCGCTCGGAAGATTTTTTTCACCCATCAGGGAACCATCGAGATTTTTTTACTTCCGGCTGGTCATGTCTTAGGGTCCTCACAAACCCACTAGGGGGGGGAGTGAGCTGTAGCGGTAAATAATTCCCCAAAATTATTAACCACAGCAATCATCACTCAACATTGGATGCTGACCACCACTGTTTAAGTCGACTTGTTTAGCTGAAGGCTTACGGTCAAGCATCCCCGCCATTTGGTGCTTCGTCGTGTCACGTGCGTGCACGATTACTAGCTAGCTAAGCATTCATTCCTACCCGCGATTTGGTCCCAAAATATATATCGTATTTGGACGACAAAATCTGGTCTTTTGCTTTACCATTTGGTACTCGAAGAACGAACACTATAGTGGTTGTTGGTATAAGATCTTGCGTTAGTATAATCCGTACAACACGCGAACGTCGATACCTTCAATCCCTAAAATACCAATTGTGCAGGCATAGATAAGTTATTATATAAATTACACATTTCGGAGTATGCTGAATTATAGTTTGGTTGTTCTTTCTAAAATTAGAGTCTGTCGGAACAGTCTGCTAAATAGTCTGTCTGTGTAACACATAAAGAGATATAGAAATGTTGTCCTCGCATTAACAAAACACCCAGACATCAGATGAATGTAATATAAATATCTGGGAAAAATAAAGCTCGAAGTCAATTCTCCTATATAACTTTGTTGTGAACAGCAACCTTGACTTAAAGTTCATTGATGTATTATGTTGAGATCAATGACATATTTATTCCATTTTTTCAGCAGTCTTATCGTAGTTTTATAATAGGAAAGAAATTCGATCGTGGGTACGGAAACTAGATAAGTTCATGCTGGATTGTTTTACTACATGAAATGGGGCCGAGGTCGATTCTAGAACTATCCATTGGCGCCATTCCTGTCAGCATGGCAGACTGTACATGTAAGTTGAGTAATACATTGAAAACTGTTTGAAAACCAGTTGTTTCTTTATTTCAAATCATGAATACTCCTTGTATAGAATGTTGGCCAGCGTCTTCAAATGGTAGCATTGGATCGTTCATGGAATTAGAGTGATTATGAGTTAAATGGTCTGTAGTCCTGATTCATTTCAGTTTAAATGAGGGGTCGTTCGACCTCGACCAGAAGGTAAATAGAAGAGTAGGCTCAGCTGCAGAATACCAGAAAGAGAAAGTACGTGAACATGAAAAGAGTAACGCCTCAACAGTATGGATGTTTCAGAGATTGTCATGAAATTTGCGCTGGAAAATTCTTCTACGAAATGAAGATATATTTCTGATTATTATTTCATATGTAAATCCTGTATGAAGAAAAAAGTCTTTTGGAACTAAATGCGCTGAAAATGTTTGTACCATATGTCCGCACTCTGTCTCAGATAAACCTTTATTATTTTTTAAATATGTTAACAGTGCGCCGCAATCAGATCGTACGACGGGGACACCATATGACACGTCAGAAAATGAGAGTTCCCGTCAATCCAGATGACATATAACACAATTTTATTAAAAATTATTCACAAAAAAATTTATCAGGTGAAATTTCAACCAACTTTCCGCATAAGTTCAGCTAACTTCACATAGCCTACACATGATTACAGGATCTAGAACTTTAGTCCAGCTTATCCCTCTATGATTATCACTAGAAGCCTTTAGTCCTGTAGTATTATCTGCGATAGGCGATGACCTACTCAATTTCAACGGACTATTTCTGATCTCCACAGATTACCCCTTATCCGTGTAAATGCCAACAACAGTTTGTCAACAACATCTTTAAACAAAACTAGAGCCATATCGTCGGGTCCTGCAGCTTTGCTTGGTTTCAAACTAGAGATAGCTCTCGCCACCCCACTTTGAAGGACCGATACCGACATCACGCAGGTGTTCGATGTTGGTCAAATTCAACATGGCTGTGAGCCAGCTACACTGCTGCTCAAAATTTCCCGTGCCACGTTCCAGTTGCAGTAGACTTTGAATGTTTGAACTTTTGTTTCACAGCATACATGTAAAAACTGGTGAAAACGTCCCTTTGGTCACGCTCTCTGCTTATGTAATGTGCAGTTGCATTCTCTTAGTCGGTTAGTTCTCCATCGTGGGAATCCAGTGGTGAAGTACACAAGAAAATAAACATAGTCAGATATTTGAAACAAAGCCTATGATTGTTATTATGGAATTCCTAAAGGTACGTTAACTGTGAGTACAGTCGTGCTGTGGAAGAAATTTTAATTTGAAAAACATTGTCATCCTAAATGTCATTTCCACCAGAGGTTTCCTCAACCTGAACGAAGTGTGGACGTAGGATTCTAAATAAAGCAGGAACAAGCGTGTTATTTGAACCATTAAACCCATTCTGACACAAGAGGTGTTCACAGAAGGATTTCATAGATTAAGCTGGACAAAATAAGTCTAGAAAAAAAGGTAAAAGAATTAATTTACGCACACCTTTAAATGCGCTCGCTGCCTCCAGCTCTTCGCATAGACTGACTGCATTACAGATGGCTGCAGCTGCTCATCATCAAGGCAATATTCATCCACCTAATCCACCGATATGGTCAACTCCAAATAATTTTGCAGTAGCATTGGCTGCTATGGCAGCAGCAGCTGCAACCTCTCATAACTTACCTGTTCCCTCTGCACTGAACTCTTCGAATTCAAGGAGTGCTATATCTGATTCACCTTTATTTGCTGGACTTGTCAGTGCTGGCAAACTGAATCCAACTATACTTGCAATGTTGAATACTTCAAATCCTGTCAATCCTTCAAGTCTATCCTTATTGAACAGTATTCTCCGAAATGCTACTACCTCTGGAAAACATCCGAACAATAGTTCATGGCATTGAATTGATGCATTCTTATTTATTTCGATATTTTTTGGTGACTTACTGTTCATAATATGATGTGTAGTTATCGATTGTCCTTAAAACAAATGTATTTTCTTTTATATATTGATTCAGAAAAAAGTTGTTACATTTCTTATGTTTTAACTTCTTCTTTAACCACCTTGTGTTTGACACATAAAGTTACTGCTCAACTGTCTGTCTGTCAGTTTTCAACATAGGACTTTGCACCGATGTGCAGCAGTTCAAGTCGCCACACTCCATGTAGCACACAAAGCAAGAGAAGGAAGTAGAAGAAATTCATAATAGAGACAGTAGACAGGAATATGAGACAAAAGGAATAATAATATCAAAGAGCAATACAGTTTCATTGGAAATTATAAGTCACAAGGAGTGGATGCATCTGCGCCATTGAGAACGATTTCGAGTCATATCACCGATTATCTTCAGCCATTGGTTTTACCGTCCCGAGGACCCCAACCAGGAAGTCTACACCTTCCTACGTGGCTTAAACTAACTGTTGTGGATTTCATTGACTGGTGCCATGTTTTGGTTTGACCGCCGCTAGCTCTTTTCCAACCTGGCCCTAAGCCAGGTAACATTGCTTGTCGAGTAAGGCGATCGATGACTAGGATAGGCATGCATATCACATGTCCTAACCACCTCTCCCAGTCGATGTAGCTTCACAACCCCGTCGATTGATTTACCCTCCAACTCACCTAGCACTTGACCAATGCCTCACCTCAATATTGCTCACTCTATTATACCACCTAACATAGGAGACACAACGCAGACAACTGTGATCACAGACAGCTAGCTAGCCAGGCTTCTCATGTCTTCCACTTTCAACGGGGGACCCGGCTCACTCACAGGCATAAAGGAGGACAGAGCGAACTTCTGAGCCGTACACACACCTTTTGATAGACAGCCAGCCAGATATCACGTCTACGCCAGAGACGGCGTAAACTGGTATATGAAGTTTTCCAATAGTTCTCTAACTGATGTTAACTCATGATGAAATCTTAAAATCATGTCAATACGACTCACATAATTTACTGAGTCCTTCCGTTAGTTTACTGAATTCTCATGAACAGTAAAAAAATTATATTCTGACGGTACCAAACCACAAGTTAACTAGATGAAATATATGGCGCTTTCAAGGAAACATAATTTACATCAAAATTCGAAAATGCCTCAGCAATGCATTCAGGAGACTGTACAGTTCAAAGGTCCCCCTCCATTTCAGATACGTGCTGTAACATAAAATCACTTAACCAAACACAACTTTATAATACCTCAGAGTCAAAAAGAATATTCTCAACTAAATAAGACCGAAATTCTCTCTGCAATAACTAAATAGAACGTAACACATTTTCAGCAGGCATTTTAAGAGAAAGCAGCCAGCCTACGACGCAATCTTGAATTCATTCAAACAAAACCACGAGCATGAAACGATATAATATTGTCAACAGTCCAGCATCACACAGTATTAGAGTGAAGCATTGAGAATAATCACAAACCAAAGACAAATAATAAGGACGATTATGTCAAAGGTCTGTATGCTTTCCACTGTCGGGTCTTCAGATATCATGTCTGACTAACCCATTATTTATACACGTCACAAGTTGAAAAAACCCAACTACAAATGAAATCTCACGTATACAAATATGAATTTATGTATACACCATGTATTCTGAAGTATATATTTGTGGGGACACATTCTAATGAGGTGTATATCATCTGCGCATTCTGAGTCAACGAGATTATTCCCTGGTAACAAGTCAATCCCTGAGTCTCTGAAATCAGTTAGGGTTAATTCCACTAGTACATCTATGATGAAATTTAATAGAAATAGAGACAGTGGGCATCCCTGGCGGACAGCACTAGTTGTCTCCACTTCAGATGACAACTCTTTGTAAGCTCTCACCTGGTTGCATGACTTCGAGTAGAGTGCCTGGATCAGTGCAATGTATTTTCTTGGCATTCCTTTCAGAGCCAAACATTGCCATAGTACCTCTCGGTTGACAGAATCGAATACCGCCTATAGGTCAAGAAATATAACGATTGTTGAACGCCCCGCTCAACTAGTCGCATATTAGGTGCACCGTTGATGTTTGTTAGGCAGCCCTTCTATGTCTACAATTTTATCGAGTTGGAATACTAAATATAGTGCCGGATTATGGCACTGTAAAGAAGAAAGGACTGAGAAGGCTGGAAGGAATGTTTATTTAGTGAAAGGTACTGTACATGGGTAAATTTGGTATACCATATTTCCAAACCGCCATTTGCACATCATTTACCACATCCTTGACGAATTGGTCGAATATCGTCACATTCGATAGCTTCTTGGATTCTGCATCATATGGCAACATTCTTCTCATAGTTCTCTTTTTTGATTGCTCTTTCTAGTGTGCAAAACATATGGTTACTTTTCTGAATTCACTTTCTGATATACTACTTATATCGGGTTATAAGTATCACTCACCAAACTCGCCCACTCATTATAAAGTCTCTCCTGTAACCGCCTTGATTGCTGCACAGACGTTCCATCCTGCTGTTCTTCAGGTTCCTCGTCCTGACATTCTTGTCTCCATCTTTGTAACAGACTGGCTTTAACTCTTTTCTCTTTATCTACTCTCTTCATTTTGTACACTGGACTGCGTCTCGATGTGACCACATATTGTCCCTCCCACTTCGGCAGAAGCTTTCCTGATCCTGGTCCACTGCCGGTAGTATACTTTCGTTCTCATCATTTCACCTGGTCGCCTACTTCAAACAGCCCCCAAGATTTGATTTGTTTCTTGCCATAATTTTCGATGTCTGTCTTTCGCTTCTCATGTATATTCTGCATAGCTCGTTTCCGCTCACTTGTCCATCTCTTACTGTTCCATTACTGTTGGTTTGGCCAAGTCTTATGGTGCACCGGTAAGCGTGGTTTCCTCCCATACATCAGCTGGAAAGGCGAGTTTTTTGTTGTCCCTTGTATTGTGGCACGATGTGCCACAAGTCAGTTTCCCAGTTGCCTCTTTTCGCAGCTAGCCATTCCTTGAGTGTTCGATTATTCCTTCCGGTTAGGCCGTTTGTCTGCGGACGATACGGAGTCGCTCTAATTCTCTTAATACCCAGTGCCTCCAGACGAGTGTTGAACTTCTCACTTTCAAAACAGGGGCCTTGATCTGTCAATATCATTTTTGGTACACCATGATCCGCCAAAATATGTCGAATAACTGCCTCGGCTACGGTCTTGGCGCACTTATCTGGAATCGCTACAGCATTTACCCACCGCGTGGCGTGTTCTGTCATCATTAAAATGTATTGATTTCCAATTGCTGTTTGAGAGAAAGGACCCATTATCTCCACGGACCATAAGTCACCAACCGCTGTTACGGGTTTCGTTTGTAGCTGTGGTCGAATGCACCGATCACCCTTCATCAATTGATACTGTGGGCAAGCGAGTACGTAGTTCGCAATATCGCCTCTCGTGTTTGGCCAGTGCACACTTTTGCTCACTAGGTCATATGTTCATGCAACTCCTGTATGGGCTAGCTGGTGGAATTCTGGAATGACCCCACGACGAAGGCTTTTTGGTATCACTGTAACCCAGCTACCATCACTGTCTTTCCAAGTTAGGAAGCCGGCAGCGTTTAGTTTGAGTCTATGTTTTTGATGCAGTAGCATCTTTAACTCTCTGTTCTCTGCTGCCATTTCAATTTCTTTCCCTTCACGTATCATCTGAATGACTGTCTTAAAAGTAGGATCCGACTTCTGGTGGCGAACAAGTTGTAAGGGATCTTGCTCCAAAACGTTTACTGCATACGCTACCTCTGGTAGTTCAGTCTCATTATCTGACCTCGACAAATAGTCAGCTATTACATTTTCTTTTCCTGGAATATGTCCAATCGTGAAGTCATACTCTTGTAGGCGTAACATCCATCGTGATAACTTCCCTCGTGGATCCCGTGCTGTTTTCAACCACTGAAGAGGTTTGCGGTCCGTCTCAATGTGGAATCGGCGGCCGATCAGATACGGTCTCCATTTTTCTAGTGCCCATACAATGGCTAAACACTTCATTTCCACCGTGGAATACTTTTTTCTGCAAGTGTCAGCACACGGCTAGCGTATTCAACAACCCCATCCGTTTGTCTTAAAACAGCACCTATACCATAATTACTGGCGTCTGTCGAAACTGTGAACTGCTTCCTCGGCGCTGGCACTTTCAACGTCATCTATTGACCATCTAATAGCTCTTTAATTCGCTCAAACGTCTGCTGTGCCTCTTCCGTCCACATGAATTTCGCGTCAATCAACAACGTATATAGCGGTTTTGCTATCTCATTGAAATTTTTGACAAATCGGCTGTAGAATGCCGCTCTTCCTAAAATCTGTCTCAGCTTTCGCTTTGAATTTCGCATTTCGCTGGTTTTGACCGTCAGGATTTTTGTAACCCAGGAGGACAACCGTGTTTTTAGCTATTTGGGACTTGTTCTCATTAATCCGCAGTCCAAAGTCATCAATTCTCTTTAAGACTGCTTTGATGCGGTCTATATGGTCGCTTTCCGTCTCACTATACGGTAGGCATTGCACGCTGTTTTACTTCGGTGAGGCTATTCAGCTGTCTGAAATCGACACAAAATCTATACTTCCCGTTAGTTTTCTTTGCCAAAAGGATTGGCGAACTGTACGGGCTATCGGCTTCTTCGATTATTCCGTCGTTTAACATTTCTCTGACTTGTCGGTTAACTTCTTCTTCAAGGTGAACCGGAACTCGTCGTAATCAAAATACTGTCTTCCCCGGATCCTTCAGTGGGATGTTATTCTTTACCTTATCACAATAATCGTACGGGTCTCCATCACTAGCGAATAAGCCGGCATATTTACTCATCAACTTGGTTAGACGTGGTGCATCTTGCGGAACAGTGGTTGTGGTTTCCACCTTATCGACTTCACTATTCCCATGTGTCGCAGATTGTCCGTGTTTTGTGACCATTTTTCTATTCTTCATA